CACTGAAATCTGAGGGCCTGGAGGGCACACATGACATGAAGTTGTTTGCACACATGAATGAAGTTGTTAGCACACATGACATGAAGTTGTTTGCACACATGACATGAAGTTGTTTGCACACATGACATGAAGTTGTTTGCACACATGACATGAAGTTTTGCACACATGACATGAAGTTGTTTGCATGGAGAAAAGAGCTTGGATCCCTCCCTTCCCTTGCTCAGGGCACAGATATGGCCGTTGTAGCACCGACCAAGTCAAACAAATGACCGGCCTAACTTCCTCGAAGAGTCGGTGCAGCAGATAGACCTGGGCGGATGAGATGAACGCAAGGGATGGAGGGCCGAGCGAACACGAGGGCACGGGGACGGAAGGGGAAAGCGGGTGGTGGTGGAAAGCATGAGGGACCGGCCTAGCTTCTTCTTGAAGAGTCGGTGCAGCAGATAGACCTGGCCCGATGAGGATGAGCGAGGGGAGTTGTTGGGGGGGAGAGGAGGGGAGGGAGGGGGAGGGGAGGGGGAGGGAGGGGGAGGGGAGGGGGGAATCAGAACAAAAAGCAAGGTTGACCGGCCTGGCTTCCACTTAAAGAGTGGTACAGCAGATCCACCTGGCGGTGAAGCCAGGAGGAGAATTGTGGGGGGGGGAGAGGGTTGGGGGGATTGCAAGGGTTTAGGGGTACAAGAGGGAACTTGTTTGTATGGAGCGAGAGGGGGGGGTTTGTTCGTAGGGGAGCGAGAGAGGGGATTTGTTTGTAGGGAGCGAGATACACAAGCCCAGAAGGGAGGGGATTGAGTATGGGTTAGGATACAGCGCCTGGGCTGCACACAAAATGCTGAGGGCAGGGAGAGAAAGAGGAAGATGACCATTGTGAGGGCAGTGCAGCAATGCAACCATTGTTTTATCCCTTAGGCCCTTCCAAATTAGTTTGACATATACATTGCTGTGAAGAATCAGCAGAATCCCTCACCTGGACTGCACTGCACTGTTGCATCACCTGAATAGCGCTGCAGAATCAACTGGATAGCACAGTACTATCACCTGAGTAGCATGGTAGAATCACCTGAAGAGCACGTACAAGTACCTGAATAGCTGTAGCATCACCTGAATAGCACTGTAGCATCTCACTTGGATTGGAGCTGCAAAGAATGAGTGCTCCCGATTGGACGGCGGTCTTGAAGACAAGCCTCCACGTGGTGGTCTTAGCCACTGGGGATGCGAGAAGTGGGGTTGGGTCAGCGAGGGGGGGGAAGGGGGTGAGGGAGAGCGAGGGGGGAAAGGGGGCGAGGGAGTGAGGGAGCAGTGTGTGGGGATGAGGGAGTGAGGGGGTGACGAAGAGGAGGAGCAGTGTGAGCATTGAGGTGGTCTTAGCACTGGTCCGGTCTTTAGCCACGGGGAGAGCACCATATGGATCCACGAGTTGGGGAAGAAGAGCAGGCTTTCAGGGGAGAGGGAGAGGCGAAAAATGAAGGAGGCGGGAGTGGAGACTGAAGATGGTGATGAGACTTCCAACTTGCCTTTTTTCATATGCTCTAGCGTTCATCCTCTCCCTTTCTCACCACCCTTACATCCGTCCAGCCCCCCTAACTTGTTTACATTGATTCAGCCTCTCAGCCTAACATTTATGATGCGTCTGCATTCTCAACTCAATAGTGACTTCCAATCTGCCTTCTTTAATTGCCCCAGCATTCATCCTCTCCCGTTCTGACTGCCCTTACATATTGTGCAGCCCCCCTCCGTTGCTTACATTCGTTTAGGCCGCTCTGCCTGATTGTGTCGGAATCTGGATTGCAGCGACAGCAGCATCACCCGCTCGTACAGGTTCTTTGCCTTGTCCCTCGTTTTGCTCCACGTGCTCTGATGGCGAGTTGACAAGAAAAAACCACGGAGAAAGGGAGAAAGGAAGGGAGGGAGGGAGGGAGGGAGGGAGGGAGGGAGGGAGGGAGGGAGAGAGGGAGGGAGGGAGGGAGAGAGGGAGGAAGGGAGGGGGGAGGGAGGTGTGGGAGGGAGGGAGGGAGTTTCAAAAAGAGCACCAATACCCGCTCGTCCAGGTTCAATGCATGGCATGGCATGTCATTGGCTGCTCCTTGTCGTTGTAGTGGTGCCCCATGTGCAGGTCGAACACGGTCTCCTCGTTCACAGGCGGCTTGCTGGTGAAGCTCCTCCTGCACTCGCCCTCCCTCATCCGCTCAACCCCACTCACGCACACATGGCATGGCATAGCATAGCACACAGGACAACATACCTTCCTTGGCCAGCTCCTTTTCAGTGAAGTGGTGCCCCACATGCAGGTCAAACACGATCTCCTCGTTGACGGGCGACTTGTTGGTGAAGCACACCTTGTAGTCGCCCTCCCTCATCGACTCAAACGAGAACACGCCCTCCGTCTGGCCCTGCGCCGAGTGCACGTGGTAGCCGTCGGGGTCTTCTACCTGTGGGACCAACGGAGTGGGCGGGGAGAGGGGGTGAAGCACACCTTGTAGTTGCCCTTGCGCATCGCCTTGAACTCGAACACGCCCTCCCTCTGGCCCTGACCCGAGAACACGAGGTAACCGCTGGGGTCTTCTACCTGCATAGCCGAGTAGGTAGGAAGGAAAAAGAGGGTGAAGCACACTCAATTACACGCCCTCCGACTGGCCCCGAGCCGAGTGCACGTGATACCCGCCAGGGTCTCCGACCAGCATGGCCGAGATTGGAGGTTGGGGAGGGGGTGAGTAAGGGGGAGAAGGGTGGGTAAGAGGGGGTGAAGCACACCTTGTAGTCGCCCTCCTCCAAGGACTCGACTCGAGCGCGAATACGCCCTTCGTCTGGGCCTCCCCCCCGTGCACGTGGTACCCGTCAGGGTCCGCCACCTGTGGGACCACCGGATAGGGGAAAGGAGGGGGTTGAAGCGCACTCAATAGTCGCCCTCCGTCTGGCCCTGCCCCGCGTGCGCGTGGCAGCCGTCGGGGTCCAAACCTGCAGAACCAAGACGCTAGGCGAGTGAGTGGAATGTTGGGGGTGGGGGACGAGGGGGGGGAGAGGGGAGGGGGGTGGGAGGAGCAGGAGGGGGAATGTTGCGGGTGGGGGAGGGGAGGGGGGTTGGGGGGAGGAGGGAGAGAGTGGATGGAGCTGTTTAACGCGCATCGACTCGAGTTCGAATGCCCCCTCTCTCCGTCTGGCCCTGAGTCGAGTGCGCGCGATAGCCATCAGGGTCTTTCATTTGCGAGGTTGCACAGTGAAAGTACGGGAAGACTGGCTGTGCTTTTGAATTGCCTAGAAAATGATGCATTCGGATTGCCTGAGCGTTAGCGAACAGCCTTAATTGACTGCTTGATAGGTGAAGAGGCAAATCGGTGAGGCATAGGGGTGATTTATATAGTGACTGTGAAGTATCGCGCTGTGATTCAAACGAGAGCGCGTGAAGGGGCCATTTTTGCTGTGCTTACAACGATGTCGACGCCGAGAGACTCCCAGTCGCCCCCACGTTTGCGAACTGACGACGACGAAGTTTCCATGCACGTCGTCGCCGACGTAATGCACGTAGTACGACAGGCAATCGAAGCGGTCTAGCGTGAATCGAACCGCCGAAGCTCTTCGGAATGCGGCGAAGGGAAGAACCAATAGGAGGAGGAGAAAAGTGCGAGAAGGGGCTAGACGACATCTGGCCATCATGCGGAATATGAGGGATCGCGAACCAAACAGGATTCTAGGATTTAGGTTAGAAATTGCAAAGAATACCTACCGCTAAAATGCACTCCTGGGGAATATGCCTGACCAACTTATCTCTGCTGACCTGGTGTGGTGACCTGCCTTTGGATCGACGAGGATCAGCAAGGGGGCAAATATCTCAGGCGGTTGGTGGGAAGGCAAAGTCTGTGCGCGATATAGGGTGAAAAGGGTTCTTGATGAGTCCGCAACCTTCTACGGTAATCATTCACAGAGCCGTGAGTGTTTTGATTCCTTAATTTAAGGATTTGGATCAACTGATTCCGACAACATCTAGATAATTTACCAAATAATCCCTTAATAGAATATAAAAGAATCAGGAAATATAACTTGGATTGAAATGCCTCGACCAAAGCAAAACGGAGCGAAATATTGATCTGGGATCCAAATTTCAATTATAGAAGTGATTGCTTTGATGCTCTGTACATATGCTGTCAAACATGTGTAGTTATCATGTTTGTATAGACTGTATAGGGTCACCTTCTAGAGAGTACAACATTTAGGTATATGTTTGTATACTCTCTCTCTCACATTATTCAATTCTAATTATGATATGGTATCACGCGTAGGTAGGACCCCCCCCCACCTCCCGCTTCCGCTCATGCCCCCTAGCGCCCTCCTGGGCCCCGTCGCGCTCCTCCCAGGCCCCGTAGCGCCCCGTCGCGCCCCTCCTGGGCCCCGTAGCGCCCCTCCTGGGCCTCGTCGCGCCCCTCCTGGGCTTCGTAGCGCCCCTCCTGGGCCCTGTAACGCCCCTCCCAGGCCCCGTCGCGCTCCTCCCAGGCCCCCTAGCGCCCCTCCCAGGCCCCGTCGCGCTCCTCCCAGGCCCCCTAGCGCCCCTCCTGGGCCCCGCCGCGCTCCACCCAGGCCCCGTCGCGCCCCTCCTGGGCTCCGTAGCGCCCCTACTGGGACCCGTCGTGCCCCTCCCAGGCCCCGTCGCGCCCCTCCTAGGCCCGTAGTGCCCCTCCTGGGCCGGTAGCGCCCCTCCTGGGCCCCCATTGCGCCCCTCCCTGGGCCCCGTATCCACCCTCCTGGGCCCCGTCGCGACCGTCCCTAGGCCCGTCGCGCCCCTTCCTGGGCCTCGTCGCGCCCCTCCTGGCCCCCCCCCCCATTGCGCCCTCCTGGGCCTCGCCGCGCCCCTCCTGGGCCCCCCATTGCGCCCCTCCTGGGCCCGTAGCGCCCCTCCTGGGCCTGTTGCGCCCCTCCTGGGCCCTGCCGCGCTCCTCCCTGGGCCCCGCATCCACCCTGCTGCTCTCACCCTCACCGACTTTGTTGACACCCTGACTGCCATAGCCCAGGCGAGCGGTACAGTACCGGTCCCTATCTTTCAGGGTTGTGCCCCCGCTCAGTGTACCTTCTCCGACGGCTCTGTCGCTATGGCTGAGACTGCTGCTGCAGTGCAGTCCCGCTCGGGGAAGGGCCGCCGCCCCAAGGTTGGGAGCGGCGGAGGTGGCGGGGGTGCGGGTGGGGGTAGTGGTGGAGGCGGGTCGTCCGGTGCCGGTGCGGACGTGGGGACCCTGCCCGGTCCAGCTGCCCCGCTGCCTCCACCGTTGCAGCAGCCGCAGCACCAGCAGCCTCCGCAGCAGCCGCAGCAGCCGCCGCAGACGAGGCCGGCGAGTGCTCTCCCGCCTGGGTGGCCTGGAGCTGGTGGTGGTCGTGCGCGTGGTGGTGCACCGGGTGGTGGTTCTGGAGGCGGGCCCTGTCAGTACCAGATCCAGACCGGTCCTCGCCGCGGCTTCGTTTGCGGTAAGATCGGTCATTCCACTCCTCGCTGTTTTCGTCGTCTGGACGACCTGTTCCGCCAGCGCTTTGGCCCGGCGCCCGACCTCCCGGACTGGCACAGCTTGCTTAGGCGTAGCATTCGGATTTTTGACTTGGACATGGATGCCATTGTAGCAGCCTTGCATGTGATGTATGCCGATGACTCTAGTGTGCTTCCCTCTTATTACCCCGTGTTGCCTAGTGTAGCTGTGCCTAGCGTAGACTCCCCTGCTGCGTCAGGCGTAGGATCTCCTGCTTTGCTTAGCCTCAGTGCTTCCACCGCTTCACTGTCGCCCCGCGCGACTGCTGCGCTTTCCTTTACCTTGGACTCTGGCGCCTCCCGGTGTTTCTTCCGCGACTCCACGACGCTGACGCCGCTGCCTGTTCCCGCTGCAGTTACTCTTGCTGACCCCTCCGGTGGTCCCGTCGTTGCCCGCAGTTCCACCTCCCTTCCCTATCCGGCGGTTCCTTCAGGTTCGCTCACCGGTCTGCATATCCCCTCGTTCACCAGGAACCTAGTTGGTGTCGGCTGCCTTCAGGACCTTGGCGTCACCACTACGTTCCCTGGTCACGAGCGGTATGCTGTCTGTACCGAGGCCGCCACTGGTGCCCCCCTTACCACTTTCCCCCGGGACCCGGTGTCCGGCCTGTTCACACTTGACACCGCGACGTCCCCGGCTGGGTCTTCCCCCCAGGTAGCTGCGTCCACCCAGGTTGCTGCTGCGTGCTCCTGTCGGTCCCTCACTCATCCGACTCTCCTTTGGCACCACCGCCTTGGTCACCCTGCACTCCCGCGTCTGCGTCACATGTCCCAGCACGGTCTCGTCCTTGGTCTCCCCGGTTCGTTCCCTGAGTTTCCCTCATCCCCCGCCCCACCGTGCACGCCTTCTGTCGAGGGCCGGCTCCGCCGTGCCCCTCACTCCTCCTCTTTTCCCCCTACCACCGCACCCCTGCAGACTCTGCACATGGACGTCTGGGGCCCAGCCCCGGTCCATGGGCCGCGTCGCGAGCGCTTCTTCCTAGTGCTTGTCGACGACTTCACACGTTACACCACCGTCTTTCCCTTGGAGCGGAAGGCCGACGTGCTTGACGTTCTCATCCCCTGGCTTGTCTCTGCTCGTCTCCACCGCGGTCTCCCTGCCTTGCGCCTCCACTCCGACCGAAGTGGCGAGTTCGCCTCAGGTGTCCTTGGTCGCTTCTGTTGTGCGGAGGGCATCACCCAGACGTTTACCCTGCCGGACTCCCCGCAGCAGAATGGGGTCGCTGAGCGACGCATCGGTTTGGTCATGGAGGTGGCTCGCACCTCCATGATCCACGCCGGTGCACCCCATTTTCTGTGGCCGTTCGCCGTGCGCTACGCCGCTCACCAGCTTAACCTGTGGCCGCACCCCCAGCTGTGAGAGTACGACCCCGTTACACCACTTGGCCTTTTCTTATTTCCTTCCCTTTTCATTTCTCGTTTTACCGCATCTCATTTGGTTTCCTATTTTCCATTTTCCATTATCCTTTGGTCTCTTCCTTTATTATAATTATATCACCGACCAGGCATGGAATGTACTAGAGACGTTATCCAGCGTAATCCTGCCGTAATCCCTTAAAGCCAATAGCCTCACGTGGCTATACGCAGGGTGATTCTATCTTCTAGAAGGGTCTATTCCCTTAGGATAAGATAAACCTGGTTACCTGATGTACTCTGGAAGTATAAAAGCGCCTTGTACTGATCGATAGTGCAACCTTTCCTCGACACATTCGATCCTGTGACACTTGGTATCAGAGCTTTTCTCACTCGGCCGCGCTCAGCTAAGCAGCAGCAGCGGGGATCCTGCCTCGAAAAACCGCCGGGGGCGACCAATTCGACGCCGATTCTGGTAAGCACCAGCTCCGCGATTTTCGAATTACCCCCTCCGTGCGTGTTTTGAACAGGATGGCAACCTTCGACAACGCCGAGGTTACCCAGCAGCTCTTCGCGCGCATCGCAGCCCTTCAGGAGGAAATGCGAGCGGATCGCGAAGCGTGGCGAAACCAGTTCGAGCGAGTAACTCGACTCGCCGGAGCGCAGCACGAGACGACAACGGCGACGACGCAGCAGTCGCAGCAGTTTCTCGAGGCTCCGAAACCGCGCCCACCTGAGCCGTTCGATCCGAGCGATCGAAACTCCGACGCCCCAGATGGATCGCCGGGATGGAGATCTACTTCGCAGCCGTCGGATGGAGCTCGCCAGTCTGGGACGGTCAACGTGTACGACTCGCGGCGACACTGATGCGAGGGCCGGCACTCGAGTGGATTGGCGGCAACAGTACTTTCATCCACGGTGAAGCCACGTGGCAGCAGTTCCGCGCCGACCTGCTGAAACGCTTCGAACCGATAAATTCAGGTTTCCTTGCCCGCGAAAAAATTCATCGCCATCGACAGTTCGGGAGTGTAGCACAGTACACGCAGCAGATGGAAGAATTTTATAACCGCATTCCCGACCTGACCGAAGGGGAAAAAGTACAATCGTACCTCGCCGGGCTGAAGACCGAAGTCAAACGACAAGTCGCAGCGTCAAACTACGCGAGCTACAGTGACGTCGTTTCGGCAGCGGAGCGCTTCGACATGGTCAACGCCGGAACACGACGGACGCACGTCGGCAGTACGCGACAGGGCGACCGCTCGGCTCACCCCACGTTCGCCGACCCGATGGAAGTCGACAGATTCGAGGGGCGGCCACGTCCGAAAAACACCAACTACACGTGTGATTTTTGCGGGGTGCCGGGCCACCGAATCTTCGACTGCAACAAAATGAAGGCCACACGCGCAGAGTATCGGGCACGCAACAGTGGCGGAAATCTTTCGGCCAATCAGAAGACAAAAAACGGGAGTCGCCAGTGATTGCGGATCTAGCTGGCGAAAATAAAAAGATCCGAAAGCGGCCGCGGGATTCCGGGAAAAATCAACTTCGACGAAGCTGATTCGACGCGAGAAGGAGGAAATGATGGGGGAAAATCTCCACCCCACGACCAGTCTTCGCCAGGGAAAATCGCCGAGGAAAAATACGACTCCGCGAAAAAAGACTCTGCCGAGACAGGGAAACTCCTTGAAGACCCAAGAAATTATAAGAATTCATTAAAGTTATCTTATAAAGATGCTTTAATGAAAACTTATGATGTTCGAGGGGCTAGAGCCTTGGAGAAAATTCGGGAGGGACTCCAAAAGAAGCAGACAGCTGTGGAGATTATACCGGTACCGGGCAACTTGGGGACCAAATTAAGGAGTGTGGAAAGAAGCCGACCTTTCCACGGAGTCAACGTCCTCTCCCGACACCAGCCCACAACGACTACCCGCTCCC